ACAATTCATCCCCACACAGCTATCTCCTCATGTATCAGTTGCCCCTCCCTTTTAGATTGTAAGCCCTCATGGGCAGGCCCCTCCTTACCATCTTGTTTTGTATTGTAATGGCCATGTCTTCCCTATATTGTAAAGCACTGCGCAAACTGATGGTGCTATATAAATACTGTATAATAATAATATGGAAAGAGAGATATGCATTGGTATATTAAAGTAAAGAGATCATCTGAAAAACTGGGTTTTTAAATGTTTTTTTTTTTTTTAAATAGTCTTTGTTTCACGCAAATAGCAAGTCTGTACAGCTAGTGTCCTCCTCCCCCCTGTACTTTTACCTCCTGCCAAGAAATATCATAAAAAGAGTGCAGCGCCGTTATTTTTAGCTGTGGAATTTCCTCTGGTGAGCTCAGTGTGCTGCTGGTGATAAACTTCTCTCTACAGTGGAATGCACAATCTGACACTTACACTGGGAACGGAGAGCCATTGTATATAGGAATTAGCTTTGGGAACCGAACTTTTCGTATGCTCTTATCTTTATATCTTCTTTTTTTTTTTTTGGTTTGTTTTTGCTCCACTTATTTGTTGGTCTTTGTCATGTTTTATTCAGAAAGGTTTTTAATAATTTAATAGAAGCTAAGATTTTTAGCTTTTCTGCTAGTATACCCATTGTTTAGCAAATTGCTGTTAAAGCGATATTAAAGTTAATTAACCACTTGCTGACCAGGGTTTTTGCACCCCCTTCCTGTCCAGGCCATTTTTCAGCGCTGCAGTACTTTAACATTTATTCCGCCATACAACGCTGTACTGAAATTAAGTTTATACCATTTTTTAGGGACAGATATAGCTTTCTTTTGGTGGTATTTAATCACCACTGGGGTTTTTTATTTTTTACTATATAACAAAGAAAGTACCGAATATTTAAAATAAAAAAACGGTTTACCGGTTTTTTGGGGTCACGTCGGGAAAATAGACTCCAAACATGTCATACCTTAAATTTGCACGCGCCCGCGAAATCGCAAAAAAACTACCATAGCCAACATTGGCCATAGGCAACGTTTTAAAAGATTTTACTGCTCATCAGTTCAGTGTTATCAGTGATTTTTGCGCATCTATGTGGTGGTGGGGGACTGTAAAACATTTTTGTGGGGTTTTTTTTAGTGTGTATGTAAATTTTTATTTTGTGAGCAATTTATTTATTTACTTTTTTTTTTTTTTTTTACACTTAACTTTATTGTTATCACATATCGGGACTAAGAAGTCCCCTATGTGATAAATTACAGTGACAGGTCCCCTTTATGGAGACATCAGGGATCTCTGGGGAAGTGATGTAATGTACATCACTTCCTGCATTCAGAGACCGGGGAGGAGAGTGGAGGGAGATCATATACTGACCTCCCTCCATTCTCAGTGCACAGTCACATCGCCTGGATGGATGGATGCCTGGGATCACGGGGACACCTGCGGCGAGGAGAGGTAACTGGGAGGAGCACCCCGACTTGCATCATACAAGCGATTTGGGCGTCTGTACAGACACCGGACCACTTGTAAGTAAACGGCCATCGCTGGTCATTTAAAATCCTGGCGGTTTCTCGCGCGCACGAAGGATGTCTAAAGACGCCCACCCGCATCCAGGAGACTCCCGTCCGGCCATCTTTCAACGTTTGGCGGACAGAAGGTTGTTAAAGCAGTTACCTTAAATAATGTTTCGTAATCCGATCTTTCCTGTCGTTTTCATCTGTCCCTGCTTGCTAGCAGTAGATATATGCAAAAACACCGGAGGGTTTAATAACACTTTAAAGTCTAAAGGTTTTTAAGCTATTTCAATTTTAAATCCCTTGCAATTGATTCTGCTCGTTGTTGATGTTTAAAAGAATGCAGCTGGTCCCGTGAGCACTGGTGCCTCCTTTCCCTTGCAGGGTGCTATGGAGCCATCCTTGTGTGTGCAAGAGTAAGCTGTGTGTTTTCACAAACGGCAAGGCATGCCACTCCCCTGATTCTTTCTCCATCCTCCCTTCTCCAAGCTAGTAGATGGACAGCTTGTGGAGACTGCTCTGTCAGCGTGTCATTACACACTGCCCGGTTTCCCGATTGGCCGGGAAGCGGCTCCATGCTCTCTCGTCACTTGTGATGAGAGAGCATGCAGCCGGCTTTCCGGACAATCGGGAAGCCGGGCAGCGGGTATTGACTCGCTGCCCGGCGTCCTGATTGGTCGGGAAGCTGGCCAATCAGGAAGCTGGCCTTGTGAGGTGAGGTTACCTTAGTATGTGCAGCCTGTCACCCCCAGGGCCTCTCCAGCGAGAACGTGGCCTTCCTCCTGTACCCAGCCGGAGCCGTCTGCCGGCCAATCAGGAAGCCAGGCGCCGTGTAATGACGCGACTCTGAGAGGAATGGGCAGCTCTATAAACCAGTTATACTTTACTACACGAGATCAATAAGGACTTGAAGTGGAACTAAAGCCATCTCTACTTGCTGTCTCTTCAGCTATACGACCTTCTCCACTTGCACCAGTCTCCTTGGGGTTTTGCCATCTTCAGCTATCTTGATTGATTGGCCTGGGATGACCTAACTCCTGCTTGTGCACACGGGAAATAATTTATCCCATCACCAAGGCATGCTGAGTAGTTACATTAAGTGTACATTCTAAAAAAAACTGGCAAGGATGAACAGAAGATGTTTTTATGGCAGGAGAGACACAGTATGCCTCTTTTGTGCTTACAAACCTTTCTTCGAGCATACTTTTTCTGGGGTAAAGTTCTGCATAAAACGAAACCAAAACGAGTTTATACCAATATAAGTATCAAGCAGAGATTGCATAAAAGGCCAATGTGTCTCGGGTGCTCAATGGAACCCCCTTCATCAGGGCTAGAGCGTGAATAGGAATTTTAGGTAATGGACTTAAAGTGTATTTTCACTTTTGCAGTCAAATTTGAGTAAACCCCTCTATCTCTTAAATGTTTTGGTGCAGCAGGCAACATGGCTAAATCCAGGTTTTTCTGAGCACCTTCAGTGATCTGTCTTTATAGAAAGACTTAAGGTCCCCACACACCTTACGATAATCGCGGGGAATCCCGCGATCGTACGGGATTACGGACATGTTCGAAAACCCGCCGAGCATCGTACGATGTTCGGCGGGTTTGTGGCATGTCCGTACGATAACAGCCGTAGGGGCCCGTTCGGCATTGCGGTCATCGGAAGCCCGCCCCTCAGGGGGCGTGGCTTGCGATCATCGCAAGTACGATCTGCCTATGCAACATAGGCAGATCGTACGTTTTTTTAAGTACCTTACAACCATCGCAAGACAAAAGTCTTGCGATGGTTGTAAGGTGTGTACTCAGCCTTAAGACAAAAATTTTGAGGATTGTGTTTCTCTGATTAACTTCATTAACATGCAGTGTGCTTGAAAGAAGAAGCCAGGGTTGTAAGCTTTTAACCCCTTACCTCTCACGGCCCTTCCTAAGATTACAAAGACATAGACATTTTAACCCTTAAAGTGACAAAGCCAAAAAATGTTTTCCCTCCCCCAATATTAAAGTACTTTTTTAAATGATGTTTCTTAATCCGATCCTCTTCTTCTTTCCTGTCTTTTTCATCTGTCCCTCCAGCGGCGGGTCTCCGATCCAGCGCTGACTGCTCTGTCCTTGCTGGCACTTCCTGTCCCACGGTGTCTGTATGCGGGTGCATGTCCATAGACTTACCTTGCGTCTCTCCTCGTCTCCCGGACGTAAATGTGAACTGCGCATGTGCCCGCCCCAGGATGCTTTGCGGCCGCCCAAGAATGTTCACATTTTCGGACAGGAGCGTGCGGGGGAGACACATTTAAGTATTAACCTCCTTTTTTAAAGCGTTTTTGTTTACACTTTTTGCATATATCTACTGCTTGCTTGCCATAGATATATGCAAAAACACTGGAGGGCTTAATAACCCTTTAAGAAGCAACGTAACACTAACCCAAGTAAAAGCAATTTAAACTGCAAGAAGCATTGTTCTTAAAGGAGAACTATGAGGTGAGTGCTTTTCACTCACCTCATAGTTCTAAGCCGACCTGTGACAATGAGACTGTCACAGGTCGGCTCAGTAGATCGGGAGGTGAGCGAACACATACCAGGTTCGCTCACCTCTCGATCCTGTCACGGCTCTCTGCCGTGACGGGGGGAGGGGCTGGATTCCCCTCTTCCCGCTCCGCTCTGCCAGTGCTGACTGGCGGAACGGACGGGGGAGGGGGCGGGTACAGCTGGCTCTGCCTCTAGATAGGCAGAGCCAGCTGTCACTCACGCAGCTGGGCGAATCCCGTCATCTACGTCGGGATCCGCTCCGGCTGCCGCGTCTCAGTATACCGCGAGCTGTAGCTCGTGGTATACTGAGCTTAGGGTAACGGGAGGACGCTAGTTTGTGCCCTCCCATTACCCTATGGGGAAAAACACTGACCCCATAGTTCTCCTTTAAATATTTTAAGTTATGCTATGTGAATGGGAACATTTAACAGTTATAAAATAGGTGTTATCCCAATTTGGCTGCGCAAGTGGAAATGCACTTTCATATAGCGTAACATATCCAGTACTGTAAATAGGCACACTCTCATTGGCAGGTTTTTTTTTTTTTTTTGTGAACAAGCTCTCCCCTCTCAATTAGTGTATAGCCTAGTTTGAATTGCTATTATTTTTGTTAACTAGAATCTCTATTTTGTGCAGATTTCTTTGAAAATATTTGTGCAAATTGGATTCTACTTGTATCACTCTGTACACTTTTGCCATCTAAATAATCTTGCTTTTCTTGGCTGTTAAGGATTATTGCAGTATGGATCATCATACATTGGTTTCCATGCTTGTATTGCATAACTTTCTAAACTGTATTCAGTGACATGACTGTGGGGTGTTTATTGTAGCCCTCATGATAATCCGTATAATAGAACAAAGTGCTTTTGGCCACTCATGACTTTATTTTATTTCCCCTTTCTTCACAATGCCTGCCTCTGTTTTATCTTCCCATTACTTTTGTTCTTTCAGTTTTTCTATCTGAACAAAGAGCCAATTCTATTCTAAAGCGCTTCCCTAGAGCTAATGGGTTCCTCGAAGAGATCAAGCAAGGCAACATTGAGCGTGAGTGCAGAGAAGAATTGTGCAGCTATGAAGAGGCGAGGGAAGCCTTTGAGAATGACGAGAAGACTGTAAGTATCAGTTTGAGACTTACAAGGCTCATAACAGGAGCAGTCAATGGCAGGAAAAGATAAGCTAAAAGCAAATATGTAGATTGAACTTCTATATTAAAAAAATCAGTTCTGCTTGCATATACTGTTACTTTCTGATATGATTTAACTTTGCTTTCTTTGGTACGAATTGTAGCATTACCTAAATTGATGTTGCAGTAATATGTGCACCAGTAGAGTTGAACCACCTACCAGCTTTATGCATCTTTTGGAGAGACCAAATTTGCCCCCACATGAGGCTTATTTCACAAAGTTTTACACCAAGATAAGGATTTTTATTTTCACCCGTGTGACTGTAATTTTCAGTATCACTGAAAGAGCTGAGGAGGTCGGTCACTTTTTGGAAAATAAAGATCCTCATCTTGCTTTGCTATATTTGTGAATTAAGCCTCACTTTCCCTTTAATGGACCTTTTCTCACAATTAAACTATATATTGATATATACATTTATTTTCTAGTCTCTTTAGACATTGAATCCTTCAGATATTCTTCTAGTAATATTTTCACATCCATTGGATTTCTCAGCCCTCAGACTGCTTTTGGATGTCCAAGAATTTCTAGATTCCTCTGCCCCTTAATGAACGCTAAAGAAAGTAAAATATTTGTACTTCCCATCAAATCGAGGTCCATTGTGGGACACAGGTCCCATCCTTCTGTGCTGGCCCGGTGTGCTGCTTGCTCACACAACTGAAGGTATGATGATTAGGGTCAGGGTTATACAGGGGCTGGCTTTCAACAGTTTTTCTGTTTGCCAGTATTCACCTCTTGTAGGCAGCTGCATCTAACCCATATGTCCAAGAACTACTACATTCCTGTGTTCCTCAATGGACAAAAAAAAATATTTTCCTCCGCACTATGGGTCTTCACAAATTGCTGGCGCATGTCCTGGCTCTGTTTCGCTTTCGGGGTATTCTGGTTGTGGGTCACTGGGTGACTTACTCAGGGGACAGCACAGGCTTTGGTGGCTAGTATCTGCTGAAGGGTGCAAACTCTGCATTTGAGTTTCAGATGGATTCTGAATCTGTGCCTAGTCTTGGTCATGACTTTGTCAAGGGCTTTCCTCCCCCCCATTAAAAAAAAATCCAGCCTCTTTACTCCCATGTCCAGACCCTGTTGCCCAGGAGTCTCCCTTCACTTTAGCATGAGGGTTTTGGTTCAAGTCTGTCCCATATGCTCAGTTTCACTCCAGACTTCTTCTGTCGAACATTCTGGGAGCAATGAATATACAATATCAGTCTATGGAGTGCCCTATATGCCTGCCAGGCAGGACCAGGCTTGCCCTGGCATGGTGGATATACAATCCAGCACTGCAATCTGAGATTTTATTTCTACCAATGGATTGTAAAGTGCTCACATCTAGTGCCAACCTGTCAGGCTAAGGAGGAGTCTTGGGTTCTCCTTCGGATACAGGGAACTTGGTCATTAGAGAAGGCATTTCTTCTGATCTTCATTCTGGAACTCAAGGCAGTTTGATTGTCCCTTCAATAGTGGACACCTCAGTTGCGAGGACGCCCATCCTGGATTCAATCGGACTTGGTCGGGCTCCTGGGGACTCTTCATGGGTCCTCCCAGATCTGATATTCTGTCCCACCCTTTTTCTCGGTTACTGCCTTTAACGGCATGGCTGTTGAGGCCCAGGTACTCTGACGATAGCTTTCAGGATGAGATTATTCCTACCCTCTTAAAAGCAAGGAAGTCGACTCCTCAAGGTCTACCACTTGAACGTTGTTCTTCGCCTGGTGCAATGCTAGGAACTTCCATCCCAGTAAGTTCTCCATGGGACTCTTGTCCTTTCTCCACTCATGGCAGGAATGTGGCAGTTTCTGCATCCTATAAACAAATATCTGCACTACAATGTAGCACAGATATTAGCCATATATCTGCACCTAGTTTGACCAGACACAGATGTGCACGTCATGCTGACTGACATCTTTTAAATAAGCCTCTTTTCAGATGCGTAAATGAGGGAGACTGAGCCAGTTGAAACCGCTTCCACCTTCTCTCATCCCTCAGCCTCCTCTCTTCCCTCAGCCTATCTGAGCAGGAAGAAGGAGCTATTCTGCAAGTTCCTTGTGATGAGTGTCCGCACCAACACTTCCTCATCGTGGGGAAGAAGAGGAGGAAAAAAATGATTGTGAGCTGCTATAGCTTGCTGTATCGCTTCCTGCGCAGTGACAGTACATCGGGTGTCTGCCATCACTATCCCCCTGGAGGACCTTTTGTTTATTAGGGACACTGTGTACACACAAATATATATGCACTGATCCATATATTTTATCAGGTTCATATGGCACTTGGCAAATATCTAGTTTCAGGCTCAGGTGATCAGCCAACAAATATTCTTCTGAAATACACAGAAGAGTGCTATAAATGTATGTGTACTTTCCGGTTAACCTTCCTCCCTACACCGTGTATACACAACCCATTTTATTATTGACTTTTCTTACTTTGACTAGGATTGTGTTGTATAAAGAATGTTCCATTGTGTAGGAATATAAACAATTTCAACAAGTTGGCTTCATTTTACCACAGCACCCCCTTGTGGTTGTCAAATGGGTCATGAAAGACTTGAATACATTGTTTTCTAATGCATAAATCTTCGGTTTATTAATCTTCTGCAGACATTAAGCACATTAATGTGTAATGCATTAAGACGGCCCATTTATTTAGCACACCCCAGCGTGTCCTAAATCAGACATGGTCTTTTTTTTGCTATTGCAATGCACAGCAATGCACTACACTGAAATGCCATGCCTTGCAATGTGCTACAATGCACCTGTATTGGGTTGCCAGTCAAAATAAATGTCGCTGCGTTGCATCAACACGTGTAACATAATGCTAAAGTGTGATTCAGCCATGAAAAGTTTTTAGCATCCTCCGCTTTCTCATTCAACTTGGATGAATATACTGTGTAGATTTTATTATTTTCACATGTTCCACAACTTGCAGAATATTGAAGTCCTCCTATTTTGCCAACAAAGTTTTAAGAGCAATACCATTATTGGGTATACACCTATCTGTGAACTGCACTCAAGTGGTAATATAGATTTTACTAAATTTAGAAAATATATTCCCTTTGTGTTTTTTTGGTAATGCTCACATTACCAGGGCTGCAGTAGTCAGTAGTTCTGCCTCTTTCTAGACATTGCTTAAAATGTAACTGCCTTAGATCTACAGTCTTCTGTCGAATTACAGATTTAGGATTAGGTTTTGGCATAACAAATTGGCAGTAATCTAAGGCTTTTACACACAGGGTCACTTGATGGGATGGGTATACTCAGCCACTGATTTAAAAAAATCCCAGGGAGGCTGTATGTGTTGCAATATGTCTGTGAATGTTCTCATTCATCCAGGTCATGGTATAGCTGTTAGAAAATAAGTCCAAGCAACTGGAGTTTCTGTATTTTTTCTTGAAGACGTTTCACTGGTCATCCGAACAGCTTTTTCAATTCAGAATGACTTGTACAAAAATTATCTGGGAATATATATGGTGACTGTTGCTCCAATCCACATAATCTGTTGGTCACAACCAGGTATTGATTGCATTTGCATAATTTGAGCTAGGAGGTGTTATTAACCTGCCCAGAGAAAGGTGTTAAAACAGCATTGTATGTGGCAGACAATAGATGTCTCACCCCTGAACCACTATTCAATGTGTTTGCATGCAACATTTATTGCAACATCTATTGTATGTGTTTGCATGCAACATTTGTTAATTTTCCAGGCGTGTACCTTATTTTAAGATCAATGCACATAGGATGCTTGCTGTGTCTTCATAAAATGCATTTCCAAGCATTACTGAAATTTACCCCCCACCCCTTGTAGACTCCCGGTATTATTTTCCACCTTGTTTTTGTAGCTTTTATTTCCTGTGACTTAATGAATGTAAACAAGCACCCAGAACTGCATCCCCCAGGAACCCTTTTCCTACAGTGTTAAATCAGGTGCTTGGGAGTCAAGGCAGCAGCATGTCTTTGCTGGAAAATAAAAAGTGTATCCATGTGGAGAGACCGAGGGGTAGGGTTACCTAGAGTTCTGTAGTCCTGCAGGCAGGGCTGACTACACTGGGTGGGATTTCAGTGACGCAAAGTTACTGTGTTGTCAGCCCAAATGGAAAGTTACAGTGGGCTTGTGTAGTAGTTTTAAATAGATAAAACATGGGGAAATATGCAAGCTTAGCAGAGATGTACTAAATATATATATACAGTGGGGCAAAAAAGTATTTAGTCAGCCACCAATTGTGCAAGTTTTCCCACTTAAAAAGATGAGAGAGACCTGTAATTGGCATCATAGGTAGACCTCAACTATGAGAGACAAAATGAGAAAACAAATCCAGACAAATCACATCGGCTGATTTGGAACAAATTTATTTGCAAATTATGGTGGAAAATAAGTATTTGGTCACCTACAAACAAGCAAGAGTTCTGGCTCTCACAGACCTGTACCTTCTTCTTTAAGAGGCTCCTCTGTCCTGCACTCATTACCTGTATCAATGGCACCTGTTTGAACTTGTTATCAGTATAAAAGACACCTGTCCACAACCTCAAACAGTCACACTCCAAACTCCACTATGGTGAAGACCAAAGAGCTGTCAAAGGACACCAGAAACAAAATTGTAGACCTGCACCAGGCTGGGAAGACTGAATCTGCAATAGGCAAGCTGCTTGGTGTGAACAAATCAACTGTGGGAGCAATAATTAGAAAATGGAAGACATACAAGACCACTGATAATGTCCCTCGATCTGGGGCTCCACGCAAGATCTCACC